TGTAAGAATTAAGTTCTATCATAATGTTTCAGATTCTGAATTTTAACATTCTTTACCATATGAAGGCCATGAAAAAACTGTAATAGTGTAATCTCCTAATGCTTAGGCTACTTAGTTAACTTAGGAACATATCACATAAATTGAAGCTTTGTAGAACATTTATCACTATTTAAACTATTACAAATATTATTTAGGCTGAAATGATTAGGAAAACTATCCTAAACTTGGATTAACTAACAGTAATTTTTATTCTTTTTGTACTATTTGGCTACTCATTTATTTCTAATCTTTTCTGCCTTTCTCAATTTTTTTCTAAGAATTATTTATATAAGGTAATTAAAAATATGAAGGAACTAGGTAAATGTTAAATCTCTGTAAGTACAAGTAAAATAGGTTTCATCATTATATATTTTCAAAGCATAAACACATACTGAGTGTCCATGAATTCAACACTTTCATAAATAATTTATGGAAGGTAACTTTTCCTATCACAAGTGTATAGAGAAAAGAACAGATTTTCTTTACATGTGCCTTTCATTTTTATCTACGAGCATTTTTAGATTTGAAAAACAAAACAGAAGAATCCCCAGTCAGATACTAAGTGGAAATCACTGAAACACAATGTTAGTTCTAATGGATGGATGATTGTGTTTGGTCTTTTGAAACTTTGAAGTATAGGTAAGTCTTGATCACACAAATTAATAAATCCTAAAGCTGGAGTTAACAATAACCATTACACCCAAATTCTGCAGCTTAGCCCAGCCAATTTTTCAAAAGGTCAGGTTGTGAACTGGAGAAGATCAGGGAGGTCCACCGCATAGCTTTGTTGCCAGGCATCTCTCGTCTGGATTGTTGCAGGCATTTATTAGTATTCGTCAGCAGACTCAACAGAGCAAACAAGAAATTCAAGCACGAATAATAAAATGAAATGCTGCTATATAACCCTTTGTCATTCAGCAAATATGGGACTTTTTAGCTACATTGTTCCTAAACCTGGGTTACTACTTTAATTTTTCTCCACAGTGCTGACTGAATGAGTATGCATGTGTGTTAAATGCAGAGCTCCCCTAACAACTGCAGGACTGCCATTTAATCTGTTGGTAGATGGACCATTTCCTGTGGGAACCCTAGCTATGATTTCCAGATCCACCAAATAAATCTCAGATTAAGATTCCAAATGAAACCTGCCTTTGGCAGATAAAAAAATGTCAAGATGGATATAAACAGTAAAATTATAAATCATCTAGGTGTTGCATGACAAACTAATGTTCAATTTTTTTTGTTGACATGTGCCCAGATATCAAAACTATATGAGACACTCATCAAATGTCACACTTTCATAATATTGGAGGCATCATTAAAACTGTTTGACTAAGGACCTCAAAGTGTTTAAGCAGTAGCTCAAAAGTATATTTGTGCAAAGAAGAAGAATAAATTTACATATCAGCAGAAGCTCATAAGGGATGGGTAAATATTCTGTTTATCTCTCATTGTAATTCAAGTTACTTTAAATACAAGGTTTTAGGAAATCATTATACTCTATATGGCATCATTACATAACTTTCTATGCAAATGATGTGCTTTATTCAAATTTACTATTGTTTTTCCAGGGGAAAAAAAAAAGCATAAAAGGAAAAGGTAGGGATTCCTATTTCATTAATCAACCGTGACTAGTATACTAGTCAGTTACACTATAGCACCATCAGGTCCTTGTAGGAGTTAGTTAGCATTTTTAACTTTTTAAAAAGCATTAAATATCTGAGACAAAAAAGCCTGAGAAAAGTAAATTTGTTTTTTTAATCATGTGTTCACTTCAAATGACTTAGGGGAGGGGCAGAAAGTTAAAAAAAAAAAGAAAAAGGTAATAAAGAACCAATACAGAACATCTTACAGAGCAAATGGCCTATTAAAAATGCAGAGGAAGTCTCTGATGCTGGCTAGTTTCAACTGCTTTCTCAGGAGATCAAGGACTGTTTTTTTAATGAAAATTTTTGTTTTGTCTTGCTCTTCCTACCTGGACTAATGCAGCCTTGTCCTGGTCTCAAACTCTATATTGGTTAATTATACAGTATAGGCAATAAGGTTTCTGAAAGCAAACAATCAGATTTGCTGAAATGAAATCATTAAACTCTTGAAAACAATTGAGTAAAAGGTTTCAGTGACTCCAAATTTTGCAACAGTTGTTTTTTGACAAAGATTCAAAAACCATCTAATCTACTTTCCTATAGTAAATTCTTTCCCATTGTAAATAGTTCCAATTGTAAAACAGTTCTTCCCAATTGTACATTCTTCACATTCACATTGATTTGTGGAAAGGATATAGACTACTCTATACTCCACACACAAAATGTTAGAATTTATACACAAGCCTGAGTCCTTAAGGATTATGTATTTATTCTGTCTTGCCTGTCATATTTCCTCTAAAACATGTTGTTGGTTCCAGGAATCTAATGCTAAATAAACTCTACCTCTATCCTAATCTGTTAGGGATCAATACTAATTTGAAAATTTTGAACAGGAGGGAAAATTTAGAAAGACAAGATGTTAAAGAAGGAAATAAGGGTATCATGTGCTTAACTTTGATTATATTTCTTAACTAAAATGTGCAAAATCAATAAACATTACTATGTTTACAATACATCAAATTACCTTAGGTACTGCCAGTAAAACTGTATTAAAAAGGAGTATTTAATTTTTAATTACAGAAAGATTTAATTTGCTAAATTAATATGTTGAGTACCTATACAAGTATAGCTTTATCAATAGGAATTCACTACTTTTTAATTTTTTGCCCTTTAAGCATCATGATTTAAATTACCAACAAGTTCAATATGTAAAGACTAGAATCATTCAAAAAATAAACATGAGTGTCAATACAGTACTTTCTAAAATAATTAGCATTTTTCTCTTACATCTTGTCAACACAATTTTACCATGTAGCAAAAGATTATCAAATTTATCCAAAAGCTATGTGAATAGAGTATTTTCAATTCAATCATTTAGACTATGAAATTTCAAAATTCTGAAGCCTAATGTGTTCTAAGCTTGCTTCTTCATGTACCCCAAGAAAAACCAAAAAACACAAAAGGCAAACCACAAAGAAAAATTTTATCTGATAATTCTCCCCAAAAGATAATAATATCCTACATGATGATTGCTTTGATTAAACCACACACACACACACACACATACACACACACACTGAAATTTGGAGTATATGGTATTGCATGCCCCCAACTATTTTATTCATAAGACACAATTTATTTATAACCGAAAGTAGTGAGTAAATGTAGAATATGTAGTTACATCAGTCCTATTCTACAAACAACCAGTCAACCTGGACCAACTGTGTAAATGATCATAAATGCAGTCTATATACCAATGCATATTGATTCAGATCTCCAAAATCAACAAACTGCCAATGCATACTCAGGACTTTATAGTACTCATACTGAAAGTGACAAATATGGCCACTATAGCCATAACAGTTGTCTTAAATACAATAAAGTGATATTCTAATTTCTAGAAAATATAAGATTTAATAATATTATATTAAGATTTGTGTTGTAAATATGCTTTCCAGGAAGTGCTCTGGCATGAAAGGGCCATAACCAGAAATGAATGAAAATTTTTATCAAAGAGCTGAAAATCTTAAGGATGGAGAATTTAGCACAAAGCAAAAAGCTTGAAAAAGTCAAGTAGTTTTTTCTATCTTGAGAAAAAGAATTCATATTCTCATGGCCACAAATATATTTGAAAGAGCATATAAAAGTAGAGCTACACTTCCTTAAATCAAAGAAATAGTCACAAGTTGTACAAAGAGAGGATCATACCAACAATATAGAAATGAGGAAAAGAGGTAAAAAAAGAAATTCACCATTTTTCGTGTTTATTCTTCTTAGTAATTATCATTTTTTTAAAGGACCGAGAATTCCACAGGTAGAGTATAGCCCAACTGATTTAAAACATTCTAAATTTAATAAAAACTTAAAAAGACATAATTTATTGGCCGGTTCATTGATCGTAGCAAATGTACTGCCGTAGTGAGATGCAAATAGAGGAAGAGGCCATGTGTGCGTGGGGTTAGGGAATAGGTGGTAAATTGATAACTCTGTGCTTTCTGCTTGGTTTTGCTGTGAACCTAAATCTGCTCTACAAAATAAAGTCTATTTAAAAAATCTCCAAAGATAAAAAAAAAATTTTGGCATAAATTCACAAGTGTGAATGACTCAAATCAGAAATGATGAATTATAAAACATAGTTCATAACAAATATAACCAATTAGAACACTAAGCTACCTTTGCAAACATTTTTTGATTTTTCATTTTTTTTTCATCTGAGGCCAAGAAGAGTAACAAAATTATTTGTACGAAGCTTAAAAAATAAAGATACCCAGAATGCCATTTATTTTAATAAACTTACTTAAAATAAGGGAAATCTTTTTTTTTTTAATAAAAGAGTAAAACCTCAGTCATTCTTTTAGGAGTAGCCTTATCATTTCCTCTGGAAATGAATCAGTCCTTGTTAGGCAGCTGCCAGTAGTCCTAAAACCCTTCTCTCAATATTCTAGAGATACTCATGTGTAAGAAGCTACCAGCACTCTATTAAGTTAGATGCTATGGAGATAAATAGTAAATTTAATCAGATCTTACACATATTCTTTTTTAACCCCTCTATGGCATATGGAAAATAAAAACGCATTCTTAAATTCACACTTGCCAAAAGGAAAAGGCACATTGTGCTACTAGTTTGAAGATTTTTATTGTAATTGGGATTTCAAAAAGGCAAAATTAGATTTTATCCTAGATGGATATTATTAATTTTATATGCTATTCTACCAAATATAAATATACTACATATAAGCTATTACTTTAAAAAATCAATTTTCAAATGATTTTATGAATATTATATTTGAAGAGAATAGACTTTTTATAATACTAATAACCATTTCACATACTATTATGTTTCTTAATACTTCTGAAACATTTTTATAGACCTACCTTTCACAGATGGATGGAATAACAGTGATCACCACCGTTAACATTTAGGCCCTGTAAAATAAATAAACAATCTTTTCTTTTTTTTAACCATCCCTAAAAACCATTATCACCACCACACTATGAACATAATTACTCTGATATGTGAAATACATATTAAATAAGCTCATTTCCTGTTTCAGGTATTGTAGTAGGGCGGTATATACACAACCCCCAATCTTCAAAACAGTCCTAAAGGAATTATTTTCCTATTCCATATACAAGAATACTTAGGCTTAAAAGTAACTATGAAATTTGTACCCAACTCCAGGTAGGTATTAAGTGGGAGATTAAAAAATTGAAACCCAGGCCTACCTAGCTCAAAAACCTGTTCTTTTTACTATAACGTTTTATTGAAATTATTAAATGCATTGGTTCTGAAGTAGAATTTACCTTCTGCTTTAAAACAAACAAACACAAATTATACTACCTATTTAGGGAAAACATGCCATTACTTACTTTCAGAAAGCTAATTATTAAATACAATTCAAGTCCTGTAATACAACATAGAATGACTGTCTAGATATTTTCAAAACCTTGAATTCAAGCAGCATCTAATTATAATGCTACATTTTTCTACCAGCTATACTGCTGGTAGAAACGGATGTCCATACTGTGCAACTTGCCATTTCCTTCCTCTCTGCTTTAAAATAAAATAGTTTGTAAAAATGATATTAGATTCTACAATCATATTTGAGTCATACGATCAAACATTTAAAAGTATCCTAAATGTTTTTCTATAGTGTTTCTATATTTACTCATAAAATATTGGAAATCATGCAACAATTTTGGATATAATTCAGTTACAGAACAACAGATGAACAGCTGCTTTTTTACTTAAATTCAGTAAGGTAAAATTTTTGAAATATTTGCTAGCCTCCAATAAACTGCAGCATGTAAGGGCTCTATTAACATAAGCAGTTCTAGAAGTGGTTTTTTATCTCAAGTTTCAAATGAGTACGATTTAGTCATGATCATTTTTTAAGTTTAAAAGAAACTGATTTAAAAACATAATTCATATCTAAATTGAGATAATACATTAGTAAAAATACTTTGCATAAAATACACATTGAATATAATTTCCTAAAATAAACCTAAAAATATTGAACAAACTCATAAAATTGAAAGGTTTTTGTCTACAGCTTCTTTAAGCTGTGTGATTCTTAACATTTCTTATCATAAATTGGTAAGAAATACTTAAAATACAGCAGACAATATTTAATTTGGGTAGGCACAGTAACTTTTTTTGACCTTTCTTAGGGAACACTGACCCCTAAAGGTTCTAAACTTAAATAAGTTTCACTATATTCTAAATTTAACTGGCATCAAGACATCATTTCTGCCTATGTTTTTGTAGTTCTGTATACTTATGGAAGAAACATTTATTCTTAAATAATAAACTGTTTCCAATGGACTTGTGTGCATATAAAACAACTAAGCCATGTTCTGCTAATTTATTAAAATAACCAAAATTTAATATAAGAAATATCTAGGGATTTATCATACTATTCCAAATAATTATTCAGAAGAGATTTCTGACCCCATGCCTTTTTTTCTTATATAGTTAAGTGATAAGTATGCAAATACTAAAAAGCGTTAAACAACCCATCACATAAAAACTCATTCTTTTTGAGGCTTTATTTTACATACATCCTTTAAGACATTTTAGTTTTTCCTTAAAAAGCAGAAAAAAAGAACCCTGAAAAAATAGAATGGGCAAAACATCATTTACTTCTTAAGAAGCCAGAAGATGTTACTAATACTCACTTGGCAATAAGCATTTATTCACTCACATATTGTTTCAATTAACTTAAAATTTCTTTCATTCAGGGTTTTCTTAACTACTTGAAAAAAGTTGGACACATTCTATAGATGTCTTCACTCATCTTACCTACCAACCACAGATTTACATTTTCCAAACTCTATCTTTAATGACAAAAACAAAGGAAAATAAAAATCACTATATTTGTTAACATTAAATACCCCATTAACTCTTGGCTTCAAATATTTCAGCAATGTTTTTACAATAAAGCTAGGAAAACAATGGCCACTTAAACTCTCCTTATAATGAAATTTGTAAGATGATGCAAAGACATATCTGTGCATTACAAAATTTTAATTAGTTAAATTTCTTAAAAAAATAAGTAAATTAATATTAAATAACTATTTATGAGACCAGACTATGAATATTAGTGTCAGACAGAGCTTTGAAGCAATTTGTGCTTTATGATAAATACCATTAGCCTTGATATCATGATGACTATGTGGTTTTATTGTTTAAACAAATCAGTTACCACAAAACTCAAAAGATATTATTGATTGAATTTTACTTATTAAGAATGTTTCAATAGCAAGCCCTTTATATAAAGGAATGCCATATTCCTCTTTCTATCAAAGAAAAAAGCCTGTGAAATTGCAAAGTCCTTAATAATGTTTCACTCAAGTCTACTGTGGTCTGTGCCATCTGCAAACTATTTATGCATGGATGTCTTTAGTCCTAAAACTTTTCTTTCCATAATTGTCCTAGAGCTTCAGCACGTCTCTTCCTTAACATTTTACCTGGTTATTCTACATTTATGAGAAAAGTATTTCCTCCAAAGCCTCTAGCTCTTTGGCTATATTTATTAAAAATAATTCCTTAGGTGCCCTAAAGATCCTTTCATCTGTAGACTTTCATAGCATTGTGACCTCTGAATAGGGACCATAAGCAACAGGGGCATCATTATTTACTTCCCCTTTCCTTATTTGGTACATAAATTGAATGAAACTGCTTTGAGCTCTTCAAAAGAAGAATATTTGCTTGCTTTTTTGCCTAAATGAATAAAAACAGCTACAACAAATTAGTTCCCCGTTTCACACCGATACAACCTTATCACAATCTTGATTACCAAGAGGATCAAAATTAAGTGTTACAGGGCCCATTCACTAAAACTACTAACTTTTCATTAAAAACCTTTAACCACCTTAACTCAGATATTACTTCATACACAATTCAATCAGTTATCTGGATTCTAAACTCATAACAAGCAGCCTAAAATTACAAATAAGAGGTGAAAGTTTACTAATAGTAGGCATGAACAATAAGAAAATTTATAGGAGTATGGAATTGAAAAACAAATGCAGAAATCAGAAGAAGGTATACTCAGAAAGCATAGCATCTTTCTATACCTCAAAAGCAAAAACACCTATTGAATTACTTAGTAAATTATGATTAGTACATGATGACAGTCGCAAAAATGGCCTATAACTTTCTGAAAAACATTAACAGTGTGGTTAACATATAGTGAAAAAGGAGCCTAGTTTGGTGAGGAAGAGTCAAAAAAGTGAGAAATGTGTGCAAAGTTTTGGTAATAATCCTATTTTTTAAATTATAAAGAGTAGTGGAAATAAAATGTACAAAAAGATATGAACCTTTACCTGGATGTAATACTATATCAGAATGATTAATTTCCCAAGGACTCCACATTTGTAACATTTTACCATAAGAGACCTCAATTAAAAACTTAACATTTTTTTAAACCTCTCTAAGGCTTCTCCATCTTGCTTTACACATAGATGTGCCCTATCTACCCGCTCACCCACCTACCTGTCCACCTGCCGATCTGTCTGTCCATCCATCCATCCATCTATCGTCTCTCTTTTTCAGACCACCTCTTAGTCTGTCTGTCTTTTTAAACTGCGTTTCTGTCTTGGACAGTTTTCTCCTTGGGCCTGTGCATGTCTGTGTATCTTTTTTCTCTCTGTCACTCTCCTTGTCTCAGACTCTGTCTTCATATCTCTGTCTCTATCTGCACATCTCTGCATGTCTCTGTCACTCTGGGGCCCTCTGACTCCATCGCTTTTCTGTGTGTCTCTTTTTCTGAAGTGTGTCTGTGTGTATGCCTGTACCTCTACCTCTCTTAGTATCTCTTTGTTTTCCTGTCTCTCTCTCACTGTATGTCTCTGTCTCTTTCTAGCTGTTTCTCTTACTCTGCTATTTCTCTTTCTCTGTGAGTCTCAGTGTGTGTGGCTTCCTATTTCAGTTTAGTATCACCCTTCATGTCTCTGTGTTTCTTTCTCTGTGTGTATTTCTTTCTCTGAGTGTACCGTTCTGTACACATCTCTCTCTCAGTCATTCTCTCAATCTACCCTATCACTTAGTATGTGTGTTTTTTCTCTCTTCGCTTCCCTCTCTCTCAGTGTATCCTTCAGTGTGTGTCTGTTTCTCGGTGTGCACATGTGTGTCCCTTTATGTGTCTTTGTGGGGTTTTCTGCAGTATGGGGTCTCCCTGTGTGTGTCTCCTGTGTATGTATGTGCTTGTCTGCCTCTGTCTAATGTATTGGTTAGGACAAACACATTTCATTCCATGCCTTGAACTAGCACAACACCTGGGGTTTGGCATTAATACCTTAAAAGTCCTTACCTTTTGACCAGTCCTCCATTTGTACTTCTGTTCTTGTTTACTCTGGCAATGTTTCTGGTTTTTGCTCCAAGACTTGAAGCTAAAATAAAGCCAACTCTAGATAAATAAACTTAAAACAATATATCAGAACACACCTAAACCTTACCTTTGTTTAACAGAGAATTTACAGGATAAATGGTTTAATGGGACAATTAACTGTATTTCAACAGATGAAATTAAATCTTTTTTCAAGGTTCTTTCTTATATTTTAGTAAATACAGTTCTTGTTAAGCTTCTAGACATTCTTGCTCCTTTGGTTAGAGAATCATTTAATTTATTTAATGTAAGTCTTTTCCAATTGTAACTTCAACAATTTCAGAAAAATAAAATTTTTATTCCATTTATTATAAACCTTATACCAAAAATTTCAAATTTATTGATATGAATTTACAATATATATTTTCATTAAAACATTTTATACTTGTAAAAGTAATTTAAGAATGCTACTCTAATTTTTTTTATGTACAAAGACTATCATTAACTTGTAGAATTATTGGTATTTCTCTCAAAGTGTTTTCATAATAAACATGACAAAGGCTATGCCCATGTTTTCTGCATGCTTTCAAGGAGAATAAAATTCGATTTACCTCACAGTGAGAACCTGGGTTCTTTAGAAAGTCCTCAAATAAAGCTGTAGTAAGCTTCTCCTTTTCCAATTTTCTCTAAATATGTTGATCTGGAGTTGGCAATCTTTCTCTAAGTTCCTCATTTACTTTTGGATTAGCTGAAAATATAGGAAGTTATTAATTTCAAAGAAATACGTCCCAGTCAATGAAGCCATTTCCCTACATATTGCCCAAAAAGGTTAATAATAATTGCAGTCTTTTAATAAGAGATTCATATAGCAAGACATGTAGAAAATACAGTCTTTAATAACCTCTGGAGTATTTTAAAACATGTCTTACAGGTCTTAATGTGCTTAGTAATATACTATTTAAAACCATAATTTTATCCCTCTGTAATATACAGTCACTCTTCCTCATCATTTACCCAGCTAATGAATGCCAGCAATTAGTAAAATGTAATCCCATTGCACAATCATTTTAATGCTTTTAGCACTCAGAAAAGTAAATACCAAATTAATACTGCTCAAGCCATATCAGATCCTAGTTGGAAGCAAGCAATTATAGTTCAGCTCCTCAGGTGTAATTAAATGATTGGAATGATTTAGTTCCATAAATGCAAGTTAATTCATAAGCAAGCAACAAATATACTGGGAGTAATTACAAGAAACATTGACAGTCTAAGCAGGGCTAATTCTTTTATAAGCCTGACATAGTAAAATACTGCCCTCTCCTGGGCATATAAGTGAATATAGAGCTGAAAACAAAAAATCTACAACAAAAAAAGCTAACTTTTAAAAAGCCACTGGAAAAATAATAATAACCAATATACCAATTTGATTTCATTCCCTAAACAAAAAGTTCTTAAGTGTAGTTTATACTGTGATAATTCTTATGCACCTGGTAATCAATGCTTTTTCCAATCAAACTCTGAGTATGAGTCCCAAAACATATGTCTACTGAAACTAAATCATTCATATATAATATTGACAAATTGCAAGGGAAACTTTTAGTACCCTATTGGACTGCCAGACCAATACTTACATTCTCCACTGGTTAACCCTAACTGGAATGTTACAGATAATAACTAAACTATACTTTTGTAAGTACTAAAATTTGTAAGAAAACAATCTCCGAAAAATGCAAAACAAAATATTCAAGTGTTATTGTGACTATACATGATGGTATATACATACACACACACAAATGCTATACATAAAATGTGCAATGACCTTCAATAATAAAAATAAAAACTAGAACACTTACATAATGTCACTATAAGCATACTTTAAAACACAAAGAATAAAATGCATCCTGGTTTTTGCTTAAGCTGTTCCTAGCTTTTCTTTTCATAGGCTAAAATTCAGAACAAATTTCCTTGTATGGCACTCAGATGATCCTTAACTAAATTTCTCACACTTAACTTTAAAAGGTCTATTTTTTATATATTTGAGTTATGCTACGATCAGTAAGTCTGTGTTAACACATATGGATTTATAGCACTAAGCCCAATTAGAATCACCCCTTTGACTTTCTGCAGAATTGAACATATTCTTAAATATTACCAATAGCACAACAAATGTTTAATTCTCCAATAAGTAAGAATAATACTTGCAGTGTATAATGTTCAACACTGCCAATATTTTGGGGGAGGGCGGGAGTATTAGTGCCCTTCTAACATGCTTTCAAATGCATTAGAATAACCATATTTGAAGTCATATCCTATGTAAACTATAAAAATAAATCAGAGTATAAAAAGACCTGCCACTAAGTTTAAAATGTACAGCACATTTGCTTTGCCCTTGATGTCACAGTCTTATTTTTCAATTCATATCTTGTACACTGTAAGCTAATTGCTTTTGGAAAGTACTTATTATTCATGTAAAAATTAATGTGCCAATGTGTTTAAATCCTCTTAAATGACCATTCATGCATCTTTCTTCATTAAGTACCAATGAAATCTGTCAAAAGGCATCAATGCAAACAGGTCTTAAAAAAAGTTCTAAGAGATTTTTTCTCCTGCTAACACAAGATTTTCATATTCACCAACTTTACTTATATTCCATTAATTTTTTAAGCTACTTTTAATAAATTCACCAAGTAAAATTTTTAGGCCCTGTAGTCTGTCATTTGTGTTCCAGCTGACATTATGAATATTAATAACAGTGTTATCCTGATTAAATAGGCTTCATATGAAATCCCTGTGAATCCTATAGCTCAGACATCTCATTTTTCCAACTCTTTATGAATTTGGATTCAGACATTAAACTGGAAAAATCTTTAAAAACAGACTTAATGGCATATTTGCATACTGTCAAGCAAAAATTAGATGTTCTAATGATTCAAATAATTACAACTTATATATATCTGCATATGGTAATAGGAATAGAAGATTTCTGTAAACATGCAACATATTTTACACTACTATCCTCTTTAAGACAAAGACTAAGACAAAGATTTAGATTTATAAAATACTAATTCCTTTCCTTACAGTCACCTTAAAGATCTGATATCAAGAACTTGTTTCGATCAAAAATTACATATTCACACTTAAACTAATAGGATGATTTTATAGTAGACATCAGATAAATTAGGCTTCTTAATCAAAATGCTAACATAGTACATTACAGACAAAATATGTTAATTGCTTTATCATTACTAATGTATACCAGCACCAAATAGCAAAAAATCAATTTCCAACTAAAGCTTATAAATAGTGATGGAAAAACTACCTATGTTAAAAAACAAAAAGAAAATCTTGACTATAAAAGAGAAAATATACCATCTTATCATCTGTTAAATTAAAATCTTCTCCTTCACAGATTCTAAACCTCATGCCTCCAAATTGTTTTTAATTCTCAAAGGAAGTGAGTCTTCCTACACAAAAGGCAAAATAAATAATAATTAAGGAAACTGCATACTCTCTGCTCTCTATAGGTACATGGGAACCTGAATATATCTGCCCAAATTTCCTATGTACACCCCATCAAAAAAGGTAGGTTAGGAAAATTTAAACAAACATCCCTGTGCTCTCCTCAAATGTGACTTGACTTTGTTTAATCAGCAGTAAAACACCTCACAAAACAAAATCTGTTCTTTGACTAGTTTAAAATTTCTAATCTGGCTAAAAATTGATAAGCGTTTCTGAAATTTATTCTTTAAAATTAAACGGCATCTTTTTAATAAGCACTTAAAAACAGGATTTCATTCTCCAATATAACAATATCTAGGATTTTAAAAAACTTATTTTAAATAGGAGATGCCCTTCCTACCTTCCTCCGCAAAAGTCACATGATGGCAAAGGTTTCTGGCTGACTTTGGATAATGGCATTTTTTTCATAATGCTTTCTTAGTTTAACCAAAAATTAATGTAAATTGAACTCAATAGTGTCAAACTATGGATCACTTATAATACTGTCTTCTCTCCAACTGTAACTCTAAAAAACTTCCAACTGTGTATCTCCTAGCTTGAGAAATGTTGATAATGTCTGCATTGAAATGGCTTCATGAAAAGGCCAAAAGGAGAGTAGTGTATTTCTGAGAGCCAAATATTTTATCATGTAACTCATATACGATATATGCTTGTGTTCTACTGCTGGATTTTTATCTTATTAGACAAAACTCTCTCAGACATTCAGGGTCTGGCGCATTCTCTCCTAAAAAGGATTCCATTAACTCACCGGGCTTCACATCGCAACCCACTCCCTATTAAGAAGAGATTTAGGAAGAAAGGATAGGGATAAAAGTGGCCAACACCATAGTTATCAGAATTCTAAATGCATATACTATTTGACTCCTCAGTTCCACTACCAGAAGTATTTAGACAAATATGTACAAAGTTACTCACTGAAGCAGTATTTGTAAGAAAAAATACTCATGCTGTAATCATACTGTACTTCTTTCTCCCTTGAACTCACCAAGCTTATTCTTGCCTCACAACTTTTATACTTGCTATTCCCTCTGCCTAGAATCCTCTTTTCTAGATCTCTAAACCTTTTTTTCACATCATTTAGGTCTTGTTCAAAGTCACCTCTCCAAAAACGTTTTGCCTGGCCATCCTAACTAAAGCAGAAACTCTGCTTATCACATTGCCTATGCTACTGCCTTCATGAAACTAATTTGTTTAGATTTTATCATTGCTTTTGATATATTTCAGCCAACTGTGTACATAGAAATTACATGCAAGTGGGTCCTTGAATTTCTCCATCTGTATCCTTAGAAGTGTGTTCGGAATACAGTAAGTACTCAGTATATATTTCATGGGGAGACAGGTGGATAGATGGATGGACCGATGACTAACAAAAACCTAACATAACATAAATGTTCATCAATAGAAAAGTGGTAAAATAAAATGTGGTACAACCATATAGCAAATCAATATGATTTGTTCCATAAATGCAAAAGATATGTATATATACTAAGTGTGGAAGATTCTTTCAACAAGTATTTCTTAAGCACCTATATACCGAGTGTCAGACACTTTCTAGAAGTTAGATATAAAACAGTGAATAAAACAAATTTCCTACCCAAAATATGTCTTTAGCCAAAAAAAATACAGGTACAGAACATGAATAAATTAAAAGCAGGAAAAAAAGGCAAATTATGCTTATATATACACATACATGCTTGAATAGGCACAATATTTTTTTCTAGAAGAATACACAGGAAACTATTATCAGTAGTTCCTCTGAATAAGGGGCCTAGGCTGAGGTAGGGAGATTGAGAGAGTAAGAGTAAGAAATATTTCTACTTCATTTGATATCTATCTGTATAATTAGATTTTTTAAACCATGTATTTATATTTTTTTAACTTTAATAAATATTTGTTAATAACCTTGGGATTAAACAAGAAACTGATAGAAACTACATAACTGAGAGATTCAAAATGAATAGAAAGAAGATAATTTTTATGACTCCCTTGAAACTTTAGAAAACTACTTCCTAATTATCCTTTATAATTATTCTTTGCTATGCTTGTTTGCTTGTTAAGCAAGCAAATAGAGTTGAAAGTTCAAATAATCTAATACATGGCAGCTTTGGAATATTCAAGTTTAAAATTAATACATTTCTTGAGAATTAAGCAAATATTTCTTAAAACAATCACATTTCTTTGTTCAGTTAGGAGCTATTTACAATAATCTAAGTGTTCAGGATTCTAAAA